GAGCGACTATTGTAAATTGGAGAAATATTTTAATAAAAAAAACACAATTAAATAATTGAAAAATAATCATAAAAATAGATAACAGCAAGATTAAATTAAAATGCTCGTTACAAGTTGAGCAGAGTGCTGCTTTTCTGGCAGTAGCAATAACAGGAAGAATAAGAACAAATCAGATAAAAAAAAATGAGAAATTAAATCTATAAATTCTCCCCCAAAGAGACAAAATTTTCCTTTCAAGCCAAGGTAGCTACTATAGGTACTACAAGATAAGCCTGAGGGTGAAATCAATCAAATCCAGAATATGACAAAATTCTTGAGATGTTTTAATAAAAACTTTTCAAATGAATTTTTTTGACCTGTATGGATTTCTATTTTAGAAAATTACACCTTTTTTAACACGAGGACGGAGTCAAACAGAAAATGGCTATACAGGCCTCTGCCTGGATTCAATAAAGAGTTGATAGGGATGGACACACAAATTTGGTCTTCACCGACTCTATTTAGAGCAAATGGTCCAATATTCCCACACTAACAATTGATTCTGAGAGCCAGAGCAGCATTACCTATTTATTAGCCCAAACATCTGAATTGACTTACCTCAAAAAAACGTGGAACCACCAATCACACAAAATGGAGGCCAACATTTAGATTAAAAAAATTAAAATATAATATTTATATTTCAAAAATAGATAAGATAAGTTTCATCAGGTAAAAACTCAACAATGATATAATAATATGCACTGATGGCAAAATATATTGAAAAAGGGAGAATCTAAAAATATGAAGAAAAAAATTATTAAAAATAAAAATGACTCGCCTGCTAGAGCACTGCCAGAGAAAGAGAACGTTTTAGAAACCAAACCCTATAGGAAAACAATCCTGTGCTTTTTACACACAACCAATCAGAAAACTACACTTAAAAGACCATATTCACTTTACAATGAAAAAAAAACAACGTGGAATAAAAGAGTTAAGATAAAAATCCACCAGAATTATTTTAATTGTTTACAAATTATAATAATTTGAATTAAGGTTATGTTCAAAACAAAAAACCGTTAATTAATTAGGTCATTAGGCCAAAAAATAATTATTTCAGAATCAGAAATTAGAGAAAGACAGCAATATATCTATTTGCTAAGAGTGAGATGAATATAATTTCTTCAAATGAAAATACAAATGACTGTCAAATGAGAAATAATAAAAAGAGCTAAGCAAAACTATCAACATTTAAAAAAAATAAATTCATCCGGTACTAGATGGCAGAACTGGTATTATCTTGAACCAATTAAATTTTCTTTTGATACTTTCAAATTACTTAAATTAGGAATTATTATTTTGCCGATTCTGAAATGGCAGAAATACAACTTAATAATGAAAATGAGAAGAGATGGAACATGTTACGTAAATGATAAATTTATCGTAATATCTTCTGACCCGACATTGAAGGACTCGTAATTAATAGCGAGGCGCCAGGTATGCTTACCAAATGACGTTTTCGAGGAAAATGAGGTAAGGGTACTCCATATACCTAAATGCCAATAATTATCTTTTTTCTGAGTGATACTGATAAAAAAGTATTATTAGTATTACTCAATAAATATCGACATTATTTTGCTGGAAACTTAGAAGAATTGGGTTGTGTGTAAGGTGATGAGATTAGTATTCAGCTGAGTGACTTCAAGCGTGTGACGTATCGACCTTACGATTTAGTACTTACCTATTCAGAAGCAAATAAAATACTCAGAATGATGAAAAGAGTACTAGTAGTAGGAGTAAACTATTACCTAAGTTTGGAGGACCATATATAATTAGGAAAGTATTAGATTATGATCGCTACTTGACAGAAAGCCTGCCTGATGAAAATGGACGAGGAAGACAATATAGTAGCATTTGGGCTGTAGATAAACTGAAGCTCTATGAGGCTCGACGCGAAGAAGATAGTGATGCTTTGTCCGATGGAGGATCTAAATCTAGGATTGTTGTTACACAACCCAACCAATATTGTAGAATAAAAGTCGTTGAGTAGAAGTTACTCTGTTGGTGACAATATGCTGTGGCAAAGTGCTACCGGCATTGAGAGTGAAAAGTCACTCGGGAACAAAAGTTGTTCTAGTATGCGAGAAAAGGCTCCGCAAAGAGATGAAGGCCTTTCGGGTAGAAAGTCACTTGAAGAACCTGAAGATGAGATAGTGAAGCAAAACGTTGTTGAAACGCCCAGTGAAAAGTCACTTGAGAGTAAAAGTCGCTTCGGGCGTAGTGCGCAAAAAGTTTGCGTATCATTTAGGGAAAAGTTCCCTATAGCAGAAACCAAAGCTTCTCTGAGAGATTCGTGAAAAGTCGCGAAAACGAAGCTCGATTGGTTCAAGTATGGTTGAGGATTTCAAAGAGGACCTAAGGGTGAAGCTGATAAGGAAACGATCAGCGGAGAATAAGTCTCGCTGGGTCGTCTTTAGAGATTGGGTTAATAATTTTGTTTTGTATTGTGGCAGGAACTTTCTATAATGCTAGAAAATAGGATAAGGTTTGGAGGGTCTTGAGAAGTTAAGACCCAGGTGGTTCATTTCTGAATGTAAACTCGAGCGGTTGGTACTTAAGATTATTATAATATACGTGTTTTTGTCAAGCACTGTGTTGTTATTTGAACAATTGTGTTAATTAACATAGGTACCTATATAGTCCTTCACTAGAATCACTAGGATATCATTCCACGAAAATTTTAAATTTCTAGTTACGTTTGCTAACAATACTGACTCTCAAATTCATATCAAAAGTAGGTAATTTTCCCCATGCCCTACTACCAGAAAAGTCCCATTTTGGTTTTGTTCAACCAAGCCGGATTATCATAAACATTGACAAACAACAAAAATATAAATATCAGCTTGGCCTCAGGCCTTGGTCACTTGGTTAAGGTCGTCTCGAATAACGGGAATCTGTTTTGTAACCTCTCACTTTACGTGCTGCTTTTGCCCATAAATGAGAAGATTTTTGGTAATGAAATTGAATAAAACACAAATACAAATTAATTCTTTTGTCCGACAATTACCTTCACTTTATATAACAAATATGTCACAGGAAACACTTTGTATGTATAAAGTGGAAATAACCTTGCGCTTTTCTCAATTAAAATTTAATTATCATTAATTTTATTCCCGACAATTTCCTTTTTTTATGTCTTTTTTTTTGTTTATTGTTAATCTTTAAAATCTTGGCGGTTTTATGATTGTTCTTATATTGCATGTGTTAACCATGAAATTTTATAATGTAGCGTAACATTTGTTTATATAATGGAATATTATGAAAACAGTAGGTACTTAAGGCATTGAGATTTTGAGATAATTTTTTGGCACTTTATTATTTAATCTTATGCCAAACGAATAAAAATTGGGACTCGACTGCCATAAGGTGACAATAAAGAGAATAATTCGGAATTTTGCTACTTTATAATTAATTAATTATCCTTGCATGAACTGAGAAATTAATAGAAGAGCAATTTTTCTTTTCCTTCTCTAGCGGAATTGTATATGGTACAATGGGAGTTCAATTGGATTGGATTACTTTAGTTTAAGTCGGGGGAAGCTAACACCTATAATGCAAAGTTCAGCATGTACCTACCTAGTTGTTTTATTGAACTAACTTTTCATGTCTATCCTAAGTAAAATCAGTATAAATTCTAGAAAGCCCATATAATAATATAATAATAAAGGTTTTATATTTGTTATATAAAAACTATTACATAAATAATCTATTTATTTAACTGACTTCCACGAGGAATTGCAATTAAATAATTGATATGTCTGACAGCGACATTAAATATAAAATTTATCTCTAACAAGTAATTCCTAATGTCTCATTCATGCCTCGATGCCGCTCGATAAATCTCCGATTTGATATGCTTCATTGGATATGAATGATTAGCCTCAGACTGTCTTCATGGCGTAAAAACTGTAACACTTTTGATTTCAATATGGGAAACGAGACATAATGTTTGTAGACTTTGTTTGTATTTATTACCGAGGAAGTTTTTATGTTGGATAATAGGCTAATGAGATATTGTCATTTTTTTTTTAACTTTCATTTACTTTTTATCCTATTTGTAGAGCTGTTATTTATTCACGTAATCCACAAAATTCTGGTGTTGTTCGTCATTTCGATAAGAATCAACTTCCTACTTCAAGATTTCTTGTAAAACTAGCATGACCATCATCGATTGAGCGTCTATAAGCAATTTTGTATATCTAGAACACATTAAACTACCTGTTTTCCTGAAACTGGTAAATAAATTTCAAATTCTCATCTGATAACTCAGTTGAAGGTGTCACCCAGAATCAATTCTCACGCAACTTTAGATAAAATACAGATATACTCGACACTTCTTTACATCTTTGTTTGTTTGTTATGCTGCGGATCGCTCGCATTTTCTTCTGCGAACCCATAAACATCGATCTTCGGCCCATAAAGAACCCAAGAAAGAAACGGTACCACAGAGAAAACCGTATCTTTCGGCTAAGTGCGAGGTAAACTATGGGGCATCTGTGAAATGTTGTTCAATTATATCGGAACGTACTTGTCCATAATAGCTGTTCAAAGTGTATAGTTGTTGAGAGTCCCAAGTAGCTAAACGTTGGGTTACCGTTCCTATCTTTGTATTGCTTTAATTGGGTTTTTTGAAAAACTGGTTTGTTTTTGATCTTACCATTTCATACTCAGCTTTTTTTCTATTATGATAAAACATTCTAGAAAAATGTGCCTTACAGGTACGAGAAAAAACTTAAGTGTAGTAGTAATGATTTTATCGATAATATAAATTTTATTAGGTTTTTACATTCCCAAACCAAGTTTTTTTATACGTTTGCTGCTCTTCAAGGCGATTCAATGTTTCCAACAACATTATATTCTGCCTCCCACAGAAAATTATTGCAATACATAGATAGATATAATAAATTTCAATAAAAACCTGAAAATTCCATAAATATCTAATTTTATTAAAAATAACATTAAGTGCAACTCTTGTTACTATAATTATAAAATATTTCAAAATTCAACAAAAACCTCTAAGACTCTTCTTTTCCAGCAGTATCTTCTGGAAATAGCAAAGTTTCCGATTCTTGTACTACCGACAACAACTTATCCAACTTCATGCATTGCATTGTCCACTGATCCAAATATTGTTGCTTTTTCGGAGCTTTACATGCAATTCTTAAGTTTGGAGATAACTTTAATGAAGTCACGCATCCTTTGTCATCCCCCACAATGATAATGGGTAATTTCTGATTAAAGGAAAGTCTGGTTAATTTAAATCGCCTTCTTGAGACCACCGCTTGAACGCAAATTGGTTTGTATTTGTTAACGTTCAAGTCGTATACGTAAACTTTACCTTCGCTAGTAACAGCAGCAAAAACGGTCGATGAAAATGGGGCCCATTTAACGTCACCCACTGCATATCCTAAGTCAAAAACAAAAAGGGCTTCTGTTCGATTGTTTTCCCAAATTTTAATTTTCCAATCACCACTGCAAGAAATAAATATGTCAGGATTATACTTGTTGAAATCGATTCTGTTTACTGGCAGTAAATGGGCTTTATATGTCAATAAGCATATAGAACTATACTCTGTGCTGCATTTATATATGTGACCTTCTTCAGTACCAACTAGATAAATCGAAGGATCCTTTGGATAAAGTCTAATGCAGGAAGCACAACATTTCAGCTTGAGATGAGTACCGTCTGGACCAATGACAGGATCGTTGTCAAAACCTAACGACAAAATTGTGGTAACCGCTAACTCATTTTGCATTAAAACCCAGTTATTAATATCTCCGTCGCAGCTAACAGAATAGAAATTTAACTCTCCATCTGGAAGATCTGGCGCCCACTTTACATCCCAAACTATGCCTTTATGCTTATTTGTAACGTTATCGCTCTTGAATGCTGGGATTTGGCATGATGCTTGAACATTATAGACTAGCACACTTCCATCATAAAGACCCATCACCACCATATACGGATATGTGGGATGAAAATCGCTGCACATGACTCCGCATTCTGTCATACAAATATAATCAGGAAACGAAGGATTCTTTATGGTAAACAAGCACACAGCTCCTTCAGGTGCTGGTTTCAAAAAGTCGAAAGAACCATAAGAAACTTGATATAAGTCATAATAAATAGGATTCCAATCAATGTCAATTACGGTGCTTTTCCTGGTTTTGGCATAGGAAAACTTCCATAAAGGTAATAAGGTACCTTCTCCATCTCTGAATTCATCTGCAGGGTCATCCCAATATCTATAATCTTGGGCAATATCATCATAAGTATTCTGATTAATCATTCTTTCTAAAACTTTCCAACATTCTGATATTCGTCCTTGTACAGCTTCATTGAGCTGGAATTTTTCTTGACCTTTTTTTTGCGGCTGATGTTTGGACACTGGGGCTTTTTCTTTTTCTTTGCGTTCTCTTTCTAATTCTTTTTCTAATTGTTGAGCTTCGAAGTCTTTTTGATATTCATCATAAATGTTCCATTGGAGTACGTTAGCGGAAAATTTTGCTATTGGAGGAGGTACAGTTTGATTCGCTTGTGCTCTTACTGGATTATTGTAGGTCAGAGCTGCTCTTTCGCAGAAGTTGAATTGGTTTACTAATTTTCTGGGTTTACCTCCTTTTTGTATTGGCTTAGCAGTTTCTACTTTGGCTTCAGCTTCTTCGTCAACTTCAGCGTCTTCTTCAGCTTTTTCTTGTGTTTCTTCTTCAGTCTCTTCATCTTTTGCTTCACCTTCTTCTTCTTCTTCACCAGCTTCAGTTTTAATTCCTTTCCCTTCATCCTCTTCTTTGGGCTCTGGTTCCGCCACAACATCTTCTTCTTGTAATGAAACCACAGATCCTTCATAAGTTTGCGGATCAATTCCTTGCTCAAGCAATTGGGCGTAAGCTTCTTCAGAATCTTTATGCAGAACCGTACCAAGGCTCTCGAACAAAACGATCCCTTGCGTCGCAAGAGCTATCGGCAAAAACTCACCAGTATCATAATTGAACTCTATCAAACTATCGGGCGATTGCGGATTAACAGTGCATAGCTGTTTGGCGATAACTTCTTTTAGTTCGCCCTCGTTCAGTTCCAGCTGTTCTTTGGGCTTGAGAAGTTGCTTTGCCCTTCTCCATTCTTCAATTTCGTCGTATGCATCGCTGCCTACCTTTGCCGACGACCTGACATGCTTCGGCCGCATTTTTGTTTAAAAAAAAAAAAAATTATAGCTAATGATTTGAAATTTGAAGCTGTCACTGAGACACATTTGCTACCTGATAGGTGTTTGTTTTGTGGTTGTTGTATTGGGTTTTTGGAGGGTCAGTGCAACTGCACTCTACGCTATGTTGGGTGAATCTACTCACTGCTGTGTTGTGTTTGAAGTTAATTTTTGTTTAGGGACAGAGGCGAGTGGGTATAGAGTTACTGAGTCAAGAAACCGCGTTTGTTGCTCATAAAGGTATTCCTATAGGCTTTTCACTTATTATTGGCGTAGCATTATCCATGGAAATTTGACAGGTTCACCCTCGTATAATAATGACATTTGATGACAAAATATTTTTCAAATTTCAGGGTTATGAAACAGAAAGCCCAGTTGCCAGAATGTGTAAAATATCTGAGTAAATTCAAATAGTAAAATTGTTCAATTTATTAATTAAACGTAACCCTAACAGTAAGCTCAATAGCATAAATATGTTTTTGCAGTAACTTTTTTCTCGGGTTTGGTTCAACGGCATTTCTTCTATTTTTATTTTTTTATTTCTTCTTCTTCTGGACGTGCCTATCGCTTATGAATGTCGACGATCATCGATTATTATGGCGATGTCCACTTAATTCGCAGCAATATGGAAGAGTTGTGGCGAGCTTTTATCAGACAATGTTCTGAGATTTTTCCGTCACGATATTCTTCTTCTTCCTGGTCCTCTCTATCCAAATATCTTTCCTTGCAGGATCGATTGTAACAAAACCTTATCTTTTTGAAAGGGTTATAAGCATGTTGTAAGGCATGGGAGGGTGGGTAAGATCTCGACAATTTTTACATAAGGCCATTTTTTGAGAAAGTGTTAATATACTTAAGCCTACATTTTCAGTTACATTAGCGTGATAGATCAGAAAGCCGTAAGAGGCGGGAAATATTAGCGTGTCCATTGTCTCCCAGTGTCCCGATGCTATCCACCCTTCCCTTATAGTTTTGTCAAAGTAATAGTTCAAATTCAGATCCGTTTTAAGTCCGTCTCATTCAGCTTCCACCATTTCACTTGAAGAATTAGATACCTCCTCAGATTCGGACAACATTTCTGAATCCGACTCGGAATCGGATTCTCCAAGAGAAATAATGAAAGGAGGAATGTTTTTGAAAGGTAAGTCTCCCATGCATTTTGTCCAGTCTTCTGAAATAAGTCTGTCACAATGTCTACAAAAATTCTTCCACATGTCTGTGGTACATTTTGAAAGATACTCACGCCATACCCTCGCAACCCTATCCGTGGATGCTGACTGCAAACTTATAGTTTTATTATAGAAGTTCTTACAAAACCCCCACGCCATTTCAATAGGATCATATTGGCAATGATAAGGAGGTCATCTAAGAACTTCGTGTCTGTGGCTTTTCAAAATGTCGTCAATTTTATATTGTTTTGGTCTATTCCGAAATGGTTGAGTTAGGTCCCATAGTTGTTTTTTGGTCATTTTTGTGTCGAAGTCTACGTTATGTTTAACCAACCATTCTTGCATTTTGTTTTTCTTTGAAGAGAATGAAGGTGATTTATTCTTCGGCTATGAATGATATGGAGCGTTGTCCATGATTATTACACATTTCTCTTCAAATATCTTCAATGCAGGAATTAGTTGATCAACGACCCATTTTTGGAAGATGTCCGCGTTCATGGTATTGTGGTAGTCTCTGTCATTGTTTCTTGAATCTAGAAAAAAATCGCACCCATCTAAAAACCCAGAACTACTCCCCGCATACAAAATAGTAAAACGTTTCCCCTCTGACTTAATTTTGGATGGGATGCGTTGCTTTTCATATCAGATTCGTGTATCCATCGACGAACTTGAGATCCGTTTTGGTTGATCCAAGTTTCATCTAAATACACGAATCTGATATTTTCGTTTGAATGTTTATATTGGAGGTATTTCCGCAAAAATGTAATTTTGGCAACAAGAACATGTTTCTGCTCACATAAAATTTTGCGTCCATTTACTGCTTTAAATTTATATCCCATCGATTTTAAAATTTCATATAAACTTGTTTGCCCTCCCTTAAATTCCAAATTTTCATTTGCGTATGTCAGTAATGTTTGTAATGTAAAATATTCATTTTTAGAATTGTATTTCCAAATTTGTCGTTGTAAATCTTCTTTAAACATTTGGTCCATAATAGTCTCTGTCTTTTTTGGTCGGCTTAAAGGTTTTTTGATTGTATATTGTCCAGTCAAAATTCTTTGAATAGTCCTGGTTCCCACCTAAAATTTAAGGAAAATGTTGGTTGGGTAAGAAATAGCTTCACATCTACATTTAAGTTATACCTACCTCAAATATATCTGCAAGTTGGACTTCAATTGTTCCCTGGAGAGCCTCTGTTTTTTTTTTTTTTTTTTTAAGTAACCATGACATTTTAATATTTCCTATTTTTTTTCTTCTGAGATTATTTTCGGCATCTTCAATACGAAAGAAATTTGACAATGCCGAATTTTAAAAAATGTCATTAGATTTTGCAGGTACGCAAAATAGTTAGGCACCGTTTATTATATAGCATTTTAGAAAAATGCATTGAAAAATAGGTCAAATTTGATTTGCTAGATAGGCCAGAAAATTTTAATACCGCGGCACTCACGAAATTATGTAAACCACACTTAAAACTGTCTGAAATTTGACATATACTGTCATTATTATACGAGGGTCAACCTGCCAAATTTTCATGGATAATGCTACGCCAATAATAAGTGAAAAGCATATATATCCTGTTCACAATCCGATGTCCACAGGTGCAGGTAAATTAATCACCTTTCCCTATCAAATAGCATTGAAAGGTGATACATTTTACCTGTACCTGTGGACATCGGATTGTGAACGGATAATAGATTGTGTCGATACTCAGATCTGATTGAATGATCACAACGAAAGTTCCTAGAGTTTTCCATCAAAATACCAAGGCATTTTCAAGGTTTGCAAAAAAACAAGAGAATTTGACAGGATATGAAGATTCTTTTCTTAGAAGGAAGTTTCTGGAGACTCAGGAAACTTAAAGCCTTTTTAGAGAAGAATCCGGAAATTCTTCAGTTCAGAGTTATAATCTCCAATCTCAGTCAGTCTTTATTAACTTGAGAAAGAAATTGCTTCAAGCTGCAACATGGGTGGGCAAAGACAAAAAAAAGATACTAAAATAAAGTTAGTGTTGTTTACCTTTACTAAGCGATGCAAAATAATGAATAATTACACACACGCGACACGCGTCTAAGGGACCAGTCCCAGCTTGTTCTCTAGTCTAATGCCTAATGTCCCTCTTCTCTACCTCCCCTTCGTTTCGGTACCCTTTTAGTACGTTTCACGGCGCATACAAGGTTGCAACATTTTTTTTTATTCAGTAAACGTTTTTTTTTTTTTTTTAAGTTAGGATTCGAAGAAATAATATTTTAAATAGGTGGTTTTCCTCACCCTTAAAACTACTTCACAGACTCACCAGTGATTAGAAAGTACCGCATATATGTATATATTTGGTGTACAATTCGTAATGTCCTTATTTAGCAACATATAAAAGTAACATAATTAAGCTAGGAAACCCTAGTGTGTCAATAGTACACCAGGCCAGCTAAATAAATGTATTACAGTGCTTTTAAGTAATACCAGTAGCTTGAAAAATATATTATATTAAAATGGAAAGTTCTAACCTTATAGGTAGCAGTCCAGTCTTCTACACTAGCAATCCGCACAGTTAAATAAGTACTAGCAATTGTACTGGCTATATCCAGCAGTTTCAAATGTGATTGTCTGGCAGGAATGAAGTGTTCCAGACACTATAGAAACCCCAAAATAAGCGGGATGGTAGATTAGCTTTAGTTCCACCTATAGTTCCTATTCTTATCCAGATAGAAACCGGTTACAGTGAATTTTTCTCATAAAGGAAAATAACCAAAAAGAAAGGGCCTAGGAAAAAAAAACAACGACTATCAGCAGCGGAACAGGTCAATTGAAAAGAAAGAACAAGTGAAAATGTCTTGGAAAAACTTCAATATTTTTCACGATTTCTCCCAAATTCACATCAGCAAACCAATGCTCAGGTCCAGAAAACTATTCTGCAATTAAATTGGAAAAGGAAAACTGATTTTCTTGAAATAGAATCGGCAAAACGTGCCAGCGTCGATCCAATAGCCAACAGCCAAAATCCAAAATTGAATGACCTTTTTTCCTCGAATGCCTGAGAATCGGTACCGTTCCGTGGTACTATAAAAATAGTTACCATTGACTAAGTTCTCTCTCTTTCTCTTGGTTGCATTAAGAAATATTTAAAACACGTAACACACGTAACAACGTAAAAAAATTTCAACGAAATTTCGTGAGTATCTCACGACCTACATAGTTATGGTTATGAGAGAACAACTAAATACTGAGATGGATCCCTGATACTAGACATTTTATTGACCCACAACATTATCAGCCAAGTCCGAAAAAATTAGTTATCATGCCTGAATGGATGCCTCGGGAGGATGAGCCTTCAGATCTTTAGCATTCCAGATACCGAGATTACGACCGTTGAAGTCAATCAGCTCATACGTCCACGAGTTTCGCCGTAAAATTCTTCGAAGCATCTAACAATTGGTGATTTCGTTTCCAGACCTTTTGATGGAGAAGGAATCGACCATTACGCCTTGTAAGATTGTAAGTATGACTTGATTTTTCATATGCTCGAATCAACTCCTTCGTGATATCAGAAAATACCTTACACAGTTGGCGGGATCTTTCATGTGGGTCAAATTCCTTCGAATCATTCTGAGCTGGCAACTCAGATTCATCGTGTGACAACCTCACTTCACGTCCGAACACAACAAAATTGGAAGTCAAATTAATGACTTGATGGGTTGCTGACCGGATGGCGCACCCAGCTTTCGCCATAAATGTATTCCAGTGCCTATGATTATTTTTCACATAACTGGAAAGGATAGTTTCAAGCACTCTATCAACTCTCTCCACAGGGTTAGC